ATATATGTGTTTTGCATTTTGTAGTTTGACTTGATCATTTTATATGTAGCTCACATGCTGAAAAAGTGTAGCACCCCTGTTCTAATCTATCTAGGATCTTACTATTGAGTCCTCACCAGAATGGTTGAGGCCTTCTATTGGGTCCCCCACAGAATGATTGGTAGCGGTAAGCAGGCGCCATCTAGTTCTTCAAGTGAGAAGAGGCTGTGGCTTGTGTGGGCTGTTAGTCCCATGGACTGGAATCTTTTTTGAGCCTTTGGTTTTCTTATTTTTGTTGATATTTCCTAAATGTAATGCTGCTACTCTTATGAATCGGCCGACCCTTGTGAAAGGGTCGGTCGTTCGACCCCCAGGTTGAGAACCACTGCTTTAAACCTTTTCCTGACTGCAGATCCCCTCTGTCGTGTGAAATGCTAGCCACTCAACATGTTTTATTTGCATCTTACCTCTCCGTTCCCCAGCTGTCATTGTTAGCAGAGGGCGCATCCAAAGTTGGGGGTAAAGGGATTCGACCTTTGCTCCATTTGAGTAGAGACTAATAGTTTTATCTTAGCCACTTGCAATATTTTCAGAACCCAGACAGTGTCTACTACTCATCAAGCTCAGATGTCGAGCATTAACTTTGTGAACCGTTATGCCAGCTGACTAAATTGTCCCCTGAGATTATGGCTCCAAACCTTTAGGCTCAGAAAATTAACCCTTCAAAGTTATTTGGGTAACTGTGCCCCTCATGTGGTTTGTTATACAAAAGGGCTTCAAAAAACTTGTGGAAAATGTATTTGTCAGTATCATTTTTGCATGGGTGAGATGGTATTTCATTGTCCTTTTGCTCTGCATGTAATGGAGAATTATCAAGAGCATCTTAACTTGTCGGCCATGTGTATGTCTTCTATGGTGAAGTTATCTATTCATGTTCTCTGTCCGTTTTTCCTTTTTAATCGCCCTTGTGATCTTCCCAGAAAGTAGTGTACTGGTTACGAGGACACTGGTTCCACACCACCTGATTCTGAATCCTAGCACCACCAGTGTGCGGCTGTGGGACCGAGGCCGTCATTTAGCCTCTCTGTGCTTCAGTCTCCTGAACAAACCACCTAACCCTCAGAGAGTGACCGCACCTCCCTCATAGCACTGCTGGGGAGTGCCGTACACGTCAAGTGCTTAAGAGTAACAGTGCGGCTGCGGCGCATCAGTACTGCGGAAGCATGTGCAGCTAGTATTCCTGGTGGTGGTTTTCAATCAGCCGGGTCCTGCCCAGCGCTAACACAGGTGAATGAAAGGAGCAAATGGCCCCTTCTTTCCTCCTCTGTATCCTCTCTGAACACTTCGTAGTGGTCTTTCGATTTGAGGTTTCCCAGATATCTCTGCAAATAGAGCAACTTTTGTTGAATCCCTTTACCCCCAACTTTGGATGTGCCCTCTGC